GAGCCCGATGCGGGACTCGATCCCGGGACTCCAGGATCATGACCTGAGCCGAAGGCAGTCGCTTAACCAACTGAGCCACCCAGGCGCCCCGACAGTCATATCTTGATTTAACTTTCTGGCCCCTGGACTGGAGAGGGGCAAGAGTGGTAGCAGGGAGTCCAGTCAGGAGGCTCCTGCAGGAATCTGACTGAGAGATGATGGTGGCCTGGGCTAGGGAGGTAGCCGTGGAGACAGTAAGTGGTGGAGGGATGTCTTTATTCTTTTAATCTCAGAGCCGTACTATGCTCAGAACATGATGAAGGCTCAGCAAATATTCTTAATGCATTAAAACAAATTCAGAGATTTAAATTCTGTCTCTCTGTGGACACTTTCAGGGATGGGCAGTACTTATGTACTCCTGCTTTAATTATGTCCTATCTAGACACTACTTTCTCTAAAATACTCAAAGTCTAATCTTTCTTGTATGGTATCTTTATTACAGAAGACCTAGATACATAATAAAGGGGCAAAATGGCGAGAAAGGCAGCATGAATTAAGGAATAAAGATGGGAACAAGTATCAGTGTTCAAAGACACCAAGAGGCCCAATACATCTATAAGAGAGGAGCTCACGTGGAGTAGAAGGAAGTGAAGTTAGGTTGGTTAAAGTTGGAGACACAACACGAGCTGTACTTAGTAACATTAGAAAAATTGGAAATCTGCAAACAGACTGCAGAAAGGAAGACCAGAGTCTTGGGGCCAGGTCTAGGAGAATGATACAGTAATTCAAGAGATGAGAACCTAAATGAGTGTGACACCCATGGGAATGTTGAATAGGAAATATTAATGACTGGACAAAAGGGGAAGGCAGAAAAAGATGAGGTAGAATTGACTTGGGTCTGACCTAAGTGACCAGGATAACACTGGTACTACTGGAAAGAAGGAATATTCACTATGATAGGAAGAAATTAATTTTGTTTTAGACACACTGAAGTTTGAAATAACAGTGGGACACACAATTATAATCATCTTTACAAAGACATGAATTAGAACTCAGAGACTCTAGATAAAATAAATGTCTGACTATCATCAACACAGAAATGATAACAGAATGTCTGGAGGCAAACACAGGAAGTAAGAAAGGCCACAACACTCCTATGTTTTTGATAGGAGGGTAGGAAAAAGAAGCCACAAAGGATATAGAGAAGGAGCAGAACTGAAAGAAGCTAGATATTATGAACCAGAAAGATCAAAAGACACTGAAAAAAAATAATAAATAAAGGCCATTTCCAAAGAGCCAGAAAATGACTTTTTTGGGGAAGACTTCTTTCCAAGAAGATAGAGTAAGTCGGAAGGTGAAGGGTTGAGCCAGATGGTATCTATAGTCCCTAGATGATAGAGCATCAAAGAATATGGAAAAAGTCACCAAATGGATCATTGAATATGTCAAGAGTATTAAAACTAAATTATTAAGAGAAACGTTAAAATTGTAGTGAAATATCACAGACTGGGTTTAGAAAACAAAACAGAAGTTAGGTTTTGTGTTTTTGTTGTTGCTAAATCAAAGCAAGACCAGTATACTAAAATAAATTTTATGCTGGTACAGTAAAGTAACTGAGGTGAACTGAATTAGATATTTAATTAAGACTCTGATTTTTCAAATCTGAAAGTGAAAAAACATATTATAGATTTATTATTTTTTCCCTGAAGTTTTCAAATCAAATAGAATAATCTTCAGTCATATCCTAGATAAAGCTAAAAAATTTAGACCGTGAAGACAGAGAATATTGGCAAGGAACAGGAAGGAAGCACAGAAAATGAGAGAGAAATGATATAGTACAGCAAGAAGGAAATGGGAGGTTTATTTATGTGGAGAAAGGAAAGTTTGCATAATGTATATATTCACTATTTAACAAACAGGTATTGAACATAAACTATGCATAATGTGTTGAGGCTATAAAGATGAATAAGATATCACTCTTCCCTTCAAAGGATTTATAGTCTAAAACACTATGTTTATAACATAAAACATTTCCTTATTATATTTAAGAATATACTTGAATAATGTGATTTACTATTTAACAGTCCCAGCTAGTTTTTGTTGATCCCATGGTCTCAATTCTATTGGCTGAGACAAAACAAAAACAACAATAACAAAACTGAACGGCCCCCACCCCCATTCCAAGAACACTCTAACTCTTAAATGCATATGGAAAGCTTTCCCCCCAAGAACTCTGGTTAGGAAAAGTCCTTCCATCTAAATTTTAGGAGAGGCAACCATAACATAACAGGAAGAAAGACCCTCTGAATTCTTCCTATGTTTTAGCTAGTAATCTCATGTCTACAAATGAGACTAAACTACCAATTTATACATGTTTTTGCCTGTTTAGTTCAGTTAACAATTCTTATGAAACCAAACATCCAGCAGCCAAATTAAATTATGCTTTGGCCCATACAGTATAGTACCATGGTCCATCAATACTCACCAAATGGGACACTTTGACAGATCCTTCACAATTGGAAGGTTCCCCTTTCTCTCTACTTTCCAAAATCTAGACAGAAAAGAAAACTTGTAAAAAATTAGTGCATTTTTTTTTTTTTAAGATTTTATTTATTTATTTGACTGACAGAGACATAGCGAGAGAGGGAACACAAGCAGGGGGAGTGGGGGAGGGAGAAGCAGGCTTCCCGCTGAGCAGGGAGCCCAATGTGGGGCTCCATCCCAGGACCCTGAGATCATGACCTGAGCTGAAGGCAGGCGCTTAACGACTGAGCCACCCAGGTGCCCCAAATTAGTGCATTTTTAATTGGAAAGACCAAACAGAGAGTTACCTACCATCCTAAAAATAGTATGAGAGCGACTGCTTCTTTGATTCATTTTTGTAATTCCATAATGTCTATTCTCTGTAAAAAGTAAGTCATATTTCAGCTGTATACATTAAAATCCAAAGAAAAACATTAACTTTTATTTTTAAGAGTGAAAAGTGTGATTTGAAGCCAAATACATTTAACTGAGTAGTTTTCACAAGTGTTTTGGGGAAATACAGTATAAAGTCTTACTTTCTCCTTTTGTGATCCACTTCAAAGCCATTTCTGATGTATAAACAACTTCTTCTGTGAGATCAGCCACATACACATTCCTCTGAAACAAGTTTAATTATGAGAAGAGTAGAGAAGAAGTCACTAAAAAGTGTGAATCTCAAAAAGAAGGTGTCAACTATTACAGAATTCATTTGTGGAAGTTACAAGTGGAAAATGTATGAAAATAACAAGTAAACCTATAATATGTACAATTTATTTCCTATACCAAAGCACAGCAAATTCTAACCTGATACTTCCATCTTGCTCTTTTTTAAGGCACTTATACCAAAATATAATAGCTGTCAATGTTTAAGAACTATACATATTGCTCATATGCTGTCTCTATAAACACTTAAGAAAAAATAAACCATACAAACAGGAGACAGTTTGAAAAATATAGAAATTAAAGGGAAATGTTCAAGAATAATAACCCCAATAAGCAAGTCTATTTTTAGAGCTACTTCAACTCTGTTACTCACATTGAAGTCTTCCCGAATTATTAAAGGCTTCATTTTTTGAGTGTCACAGAGTAAGTCTGTAATGGTTTCATTATATATCTCCATGTAAGACACACGTAAGAGAAATTCCCTGTCAGGAAACTGGAAGAAAAAAAAAAGTGTAAAAACATCAGAGATCATCCATTTGTGAAAACCTAATATTGAATACCTATGTGCTAATATTAAATATTAAAATATTCTGAGAAATTATCTTTGCAAAGCAAACAAGAAACAAAACCTCATATGGTTTTATATTGATGATAAACACAAAATATAAAAATATGTTTCAGGAATAATGAAAAGTATAGTATCAAATAATGAGGAGAGCACCCAGTCCAACTCTCTAAACTCAAAATAAAACCCTACCAACGAATGGTCAAATAAGGATTAAAAATCATTAAAACAGTAATGAAAAAATAAACTTAAAACCAACTCTGGGGCGCCTGGGTGGCTCAGTCGTTAAGCGCCTGCCTTCAGCTCAGGTCATGATTCCGGGGTCCTGGGATCGAGCCCCGCATCGGGCTCCCTGCTCGGTGGGAGGCCTGCTTCTCCCTCTCCCACTCCCCCTGCTTGTGTTCTCTCTCTAGCTGTCTCTCTCTCTGTCAAATAGATAAATAAAATCTTTAAAAAAACCAAAAAAACAAAAAAAACCAACTCTTAGTTAGGTTGCTTATTCTGGCCTCTTCTCTACCTCTACTTTTCTCTGCTCCTTAATAATCACCTGTAGGTAAACAAAGTCAAGGAGGAGCTAAGCATTCTTGAAAGATTTTCCTGTTCCTTAACACCCACTTTTTGGTGTGATTAGTGCTGTTTCAGGATTCAAGGGGAAGACTGAAAGAACTTTAAGCTCTACAAAGTAAGTCTGTGAGGGAAAAAGTTAATCTATGTTATGCCTTCTTTACCCATGGCTAATGAAGATATAACTATAAACCTACTTCCTTTCATCGTTACAAGAGACTATTACTACTTTTACCTGTATGTACCAGAAATTTAGCTAAGGTATTTACCTTTTTAATTTTCTGGAAAATGTCATGAATTGCCCTGGGTATTACTCCCAAATAATCCTCTGAACCCATCATGGTGTATGTTTTTCCTGAAGCAGTCTGACCATAGGCAAATATGGTACCTGTGAAAACAAAACACCCACACATGCAAAGATTAAAAATGAATCTATAGGGTGTAAAACTATCAATAATTGAAAAGAGAACCAATACTAAAATATCTCTACAGTGAATACAAACCATTGTAGCCTTGTATGGCAGAATCTATGATTGGTACTGCTATTTCTTCATACACATTTTTAGTAGTTTCATTACTGTGAAAGACACGATCTAAAAAAAACCACACACATAAACACAGAGGTTAAATCAAACAAATGAACTTTGTTTTCTTTCTCAGTAGTTGTCCAAAGAAATAAAATTGTCAGGATATGGTAAGATAAAATATTTAGGACACAATATTCTCTTCAACTTATTGGTCCTTTGAAAATATACTTCTCTATAAGGTGAGTTGTGTTGGTCCTCACAAAGAAAAAATACAAGTCAGACTTCTCAACTATCCTATGTGCTTTTAAGAGGCAGTAGGGCATAGTGGCTGAATTCAGGCATATAGAATCAGACTATCTGCAAATCTGGTTCTACCACTTATAAGTTGTGTGACTTTGGGCAAGGAGATTGATGTCTCTGTGCCTCAATTACCTAATCTGTAAAATGGATATGTATTCTCTTCCTCATAGAATTATGAACATATGGTTAATACTTAGGAAATGTGAACTATTACTATGCTTTGAGAAATTTTAAAGTTTATAACATTTGACAAGAAGGCCTAGCTCAAACTAAGAAATGCACATATATGGAAAAGGAGACCTGAACAAAGCTGAAAGGTTACAGGGAATGACTAGCTGGCTGGCTGCTAAAGGAGGCTGGGTTTACAGTAGCATTTGTGCTGATGAGTTCACTAGTCTAGGATGTGGTTCTCTGCTTTTGTTAGCATAATTAGCACATTAAAAATGGACTACTCTTTCAATGGTGGCCTCATAGTAAAAATCTCATAAGAAATGGATTTGTAAATCAGGAAGGAAATTTATCCACCTGCAACAAGAAATTCAGTGGTCAGACTGCTTGCATTCTGACCATACATCTGCTCTGTTTGCAGAACTAAATGGAAACAAAAGTGCCATCTGAAGGCTGCTTAGGGGTTATGATTTCAGAGCAAGGAGAGATGGTAGGATGATTCAAATCTTCATGCCATTTGCTTTAGATGGGTGGATAAATCTAAATCTTCTATGGGCATACATAGCTACTGAGAACCTACAGATCATGTGTCTGAATGCTTGTGTATCCCTCACTCTTGGTTTTATAATCTCTGGGATATATTGTTTTACCTTTTTAAAACTTATGTTAATGCTCTAAAACAGTCCTTTACCAGAAATTGTTTCCTCTTCTATAGATCTTTGCTCCAAAACCTTTTATGATGGCTTTCTAATTTAATGCTAGTTCAACAACCTAGCCATTCTTACTCCTCAAGTTGTTGAGAGGACCTCACTGTTGTCCTGAGGTGCCTAAGTGGCAGCATGCTAGTGTGGCTGGATTTGGAGTTTGACTCTTCCATTTGCTGGCTGTATGACTCCAGGCCTATTTCAGTTCATCACTGAAATAGAAAGGTACCTACAGTATAAGCTTGTTAGGAGGATTAGTGAGTTAATCTGTATGACATGCTTAGAACTGTGTCTGGCACATTGTCAGCAGTACATCCATATTAAATCAACACACAAATCAGCCTAGTCAACCTTTAGGGTCTGCATGTCCCTGTGTCCTAATTAGCTCTCACTCATCCTGCAGGTCCCAGTGTCACTGGTATCCTTTTAGACACATAGACCAGTTAGATCCGCTGTAAACTCTCACAAAGTGTATGTCAACACAAATGTGATTACTCGTTTAAAGGCTCTCTCACCATGTAAGTTTCACAAAAGCTGGGGTAGGTCTCTGCTCTATTCCAGCACACAAAGAAGGAATATCTTTACTATTTATTCTTTAAAGAATTTTCTTAAAAGATGAACCATGAGAGACTATGGACTCTGACAAACAAACTGAGGGTTCTAGAGGGGAACGGGGTGGGGGGATGCGTTAGCCTGGTGATGGGTATTAAAGAGGGCACATACTGAATGGAGCACTGGGTGTTATACGCAAACAATGAATCATGGAACACTATATCAAAAACTAATGATGTAATGTATGGTGATTAACACACCATAATAAAATAAAAAAAAATAATGGTGGAAAATATATACTAAACTGAAAGAAAGATCTTAAAGATGACTTGACATTAAGCAACATATTTTAGGCTTATGGGGTTTTAGGCCACAAATAAACTAATGAATAAGAGGAAGAAGTATTAGTTCCAACCATATGGCACTATAACTATAACTTCATTTTATTTATTATTTGTTTTTTTTTTTAAGATTTTATTTATTTATTTGAGAGAGAGACAGACAGCACAAGCAAGGTGAGGGGCACCCTGCTGAGGGACAAGAAGACTCCCTGCTGAGCAGGGAGCCCGATGTAGGGCTTGATCCCAGAACTCCGGGATCATGACCTGAGCCAAAGGCAGATGCTTAACTGACTGAGCCACCCAGGTGCCCCTATAACTTCATTTTATTTTATTTTTTTTTAAAGATTTTATTTATTTATTTGAGAGAGAGAGAAAGCATGAGGGGGGGAGGGTCAGAGGGAGAAGCAGACTCCTCGCTGAGCAAGGAGCCCGATGCGGGACTTGATCCCGGGACTCCGGGATCATGACCTGAGCCGAAGGCAGTCGCTTAACCAACTGAGCCACCCAGGCGCCCTATAACTTCATTTTAAATATCAATTTATTATCTTACTTATCATACATGATGGATGAACAATTTTTTAAAGTTTCCACTGAAGCAGTTTATAGAAGGCTTAGTCTGATCTTTAATGACAAATCCAGTATTATTGATAAGACTTTTATACTCCTAATAGGAAAAGGATAACAGATTAATTTTTGATGCTATTATAAACCTACCAAAATTGAAGGATTTACTGCCATCAACTTGATAAATAGCATTATTGTCAGTTTTCCAGTAAACTTGGGTATCTCCTCCAAGAGCTTCTTCTCTGAAAGAATAAAAACACTGCATTTTAGTGTAACTGGTCATGGAAGTCATGTTATATGACAGATAAAAGATTCCATCTTCTGAAGAATATTTTAAAAGACAATATTGACTTATACTATATATTAGAAATTTGGAAAATCTGCCTTTGAGGGGTCAACACTTTTAAGTGGGGGGTCAGTGATCTCCTGCCTTCTCATGGGAATTTCCTTGTAAAGTTCTTCATTTCCACCCGCCTACCCAGTACTGGTTGCTGAAAAGATACATTCAAAATGCAACTCTGATTATGTCCCTCTTGCTCAAAACTTTAAAAAACCATCTGAAATTCTTAATATGGCACACTAGACTTGGATCATGTTTATTTCTCTCTTCAATGTTATCTTGCTCTAAATTCCAATATATATCTAACTCCATACGGCTACCTGACTGTCTCTTTCAAAATAAGAAATGCAGCCCCTCTGTGTCTGGAATACCTTGACTTACCTTTCCATTAAGTAATTTAACTATTTCATTCTGACACCAGCCTTGTCCCTGGTGTCATCTCAGAGGGGTTAATGACTCCTCTAGCAAACACTCTCCACCTATCATAACACTTGTTACCATGTATTGTAATGGTTTATGGAACCGTCTTCTAATGCATTAGATAATGAGCCCTTTAAATATAGGAAATTCCTCATTTTGATATTGTCATTTATTAAACACCTTGTGATATTTATTTTTTATTATT